CCTAGTTCCACAGTACCGCCTTAAGTCCTTCACCACTAGAGATTTGATAGGCTTGGAGCCAGTGGAGATGTTTGTAGAACCTGCCAGATTTTCGGCTTAATCTTTCACCTTAATATTCTGTGTTTTTTAATGTGTTCATTATTTCCCCAGCATTTCCCTATTCTTTGCCAGCAGTTTTTGTCTTAATGCTGCTCGCTTTGTTGGTGAGAGATATGGAATGGTCCCAAAATCAGGGCACCCTGGAAAGCAAGGGATTTCCCCAGCGACAAAAGAATAAAACGTTGACTTTGGAGATTGTCTAATCCTTCCCACTCCGCTAATGTAATTAAATCTGCCCTCCTGTCTTTAAATTCACAACTAGGTTGTGTGAAAAGAGAATTGGCACTCGGAAGGTTTCAAAGATAAATAAGGGATCTCGAGGTACCTAATTAGAATTCCCTGACATTAAGCTAATTAGTGATGGATATTTTAATTTTGATATTAAATATGTAACTGTTTTTTGTGTATGTTAATACCATTGACTAGCTGTTTTGCAGATGAACTAATTAATTCTAAAGCGTACCAGATTTATTGAAACCAAAAGTGAAACCTGATATGAATGTTATCATGGACTCTCCATCCCCCTCTTGTATTAAACTCCAGCTCTGCTTTCCTTCCTTTCTCTCCTGTTCTGCAGCTTCTGTCTCTGCTTTTTGAAGATTTGTTCAAAAAGTTCAATTCAGAGCTGAAGAAGATTGCTGACCAGATCATCCCCAAGCAACGAGCGGCCCAGTTTGATGTTGTGAAGCACATGCGGCAAGATCAGATCACTAATGGCATGGTCAATGCCATCTCAACTGTAAGCATTTCTGTTCCTTTGTGGTTGGCCTGTAATTGTTTGAGTTTTGTTTAATTTCTCAAAAAATTGTTTAGCTGTGTTTAACTGATTTGGGTGCAAATTGGTTAACTGTCTACTTTGTCATTTCAAACTTCTTCAAAAAGGTGCACACCACCACCTCCATATGGCAACCAAGATGGGCAATAATGTCAACCTTGCCAGTGATGCCCACATCCACACTACTGGATAAGCAGAAAACTGGGGATGCTGGAAATCAGCAATAAAAACACACCATGCTGGAAATATCTAGCAGATCAGGCAGCAGTAGAGAACTATTTCAGGTCAATTGCCTTTTGTCAGAACTTGGGAAAATTAGAGATGTAAAAGGCAGGTACTTCCCAAACCTTTTCCCCCTGTGACCCCATGTCAAGGCTTGAAAATTGTCAAGATTCCTCAGTGGAAACTGAGACCAGAGTGGGAGTGCATAGTGCAAGAGCCTGTTAGGGACAGAGCACAGCTGTTATAACTTCATCAGAGCTCTGTGGCAGCCAACACTACTACAACTGAGGAACCCAAAACATTTACCTTGCAACCCCATTTGGGTCCTGATCCCCACTTTGGGAAACCCTGATATTGATGGGCCAAGGGCAAAGGAAGATCCAGGATATTGCAAGATAAGAGATTGAATGACAGAAAATTTAGTTGTACTCGCCCAAAAGATTTGGTGATAGGGCAAGATAAGAAACAAAGCATGCATCTAGAACCGGTGTATTGCTGTCTGAGTGTAAATTAAGATACAAAGCAAAATATGCAATGAAAAGCAAGCCAAATGGGGAGATGAACTTTACAGCTCAATTGTGTAACACAATGTTGAGATTGAAATGGCATGAATAGATTAATTGAAAGGTGAGATGCTGTTCCTCAGGCTTTCATTGAACTTTGCTGGGACAGTGCAATAGGCGAATGACTGAAATGTTCGTGTCCGAGTAAGGTAATGAATTGAAATGGTATGTAAATGGAAGGTCAAGGTCTTGCTTGCGGACTGAATGGATATGTTCTGCAAAGCGATCACTCAGTCTCTGTTTGATCTCCCAGAGTTGAAGTGACGACATTGTAAGCAGCAAAGAGAGTATATTAAATTGAACA